AGACCTGACACTCTAGTTACTACTTACATTAAAAAATAAAAAAAGTCTGAGGCACATATAACTCGTTCAAATCAAAAGTGGTTCCATAAAGTGAAAAGACAATTTCTTCCCCTTTCCACCTCTACCATTAAAATAATAGTACGTTGTAAAAATCACATAAAATAAGAAAGATGCTTACATTTCTTTGTCTTTTCTGCAGATCTACCACAGGTTTCTTTGAGTAGGTTACACAAATGCCTTGTAGCATTATTCCTGAAACAAAGAAAGAAGTTTGCCTAAGTATAAAATCTGATCTCAAAGCAAAATCATATATAAAAGCTTCAAAACATATCATTGCAATTTTTAAAGAAGTTTTTAAAATGTAATATTTGATATATATCACATATCACTCATAAATTACTATATGAAGAATAAATGGGCTCACTGTACTACTAGCAAAGATGATTTAGGAGCTGCCTTCCTTTAAAAGTAAAAGTGACAGCCCTTTAACAAGTTTCTACCCAAGTTGCTATCAATAACCTTTCAGTAAAAAGGTCCATAATTGCCTAAGAAAAAACAATGAGAAGAATGGATTGGGCCTTTCATTTACTAATTACCCCAGAAATTTTCTAGATATCTAACCTTCAAAACATAAAATAAGGTGACCTTCTGACTAGGCATTCATTACGTGAATAAGATCTCTAGCTGTCTGGTTGAAGTTACTAACACACACAGCAAGCAGTTAGATTTAATTTTCTAACTTACAATTTTTCTGAAATGAATTGTCATGCAGACAAAAACAGGAATTTGAGAGTGAGAATTAGCCTGGAACTAAGTTGAGCCCTATTTTATAAATGCTGCACCTAAGGCAACAGTGAAACAGAAAGACAATATACATAGGCATTTGTAGATACAGGATTATCAGGCATCTTTTTTGACATCAAGGAATGGCTTTTTCTGATGCCTGACATTTTTTAAAAAGTTACTAGTCCATGACCACAGTTTGCCAAATACAAGAATGTAGAATGGTAATATCTTCCTTTTTCTACAGCAATTAGGTAGAATTCTACTTATAAATTAATATTATGTAACACATAGAAAATGCTCAATAAATTTTTGAAAATTATCTGTATAATTAAATTTGGAATAAAAATAAATTTGGAAGAAGAAATTCATTAAATTACTACTTACTCTTTTATTAAATCTTTATTTTCTTGAATTCCTTCTTCTAATTTCAAACTTACTTTTTCATTTCCAAACTAATTTACAAAACAGAAGAACAGTTCACCACATTTTGCTTAGCAAAATAAACATGAGTATAATCATTAAGCAGTACTTCTTTGTAACATACTTCAGTAGTCTATAAGAATTCTTTACTTTCCACACAAAAAAAACTTTTTTTGTCATAGCTTATGGATTTCCCATAAAAATATGGGTCTCAGCTCATCAATCTAAAATAAAGTTAGCTGAATCATCTCCAAAAAGACTCAACAATATTTTAACACAATATAAACATTTTGAAGTAATGTTTTCTCTGTCTTAACCCAATGTTGCATTTTCTCAACAGTATTTTCACTTTATGCTATAAAATCAAAGTCGCAGTTTCAAATTTAAAGTTTTATCTACAAATAT